TACTTGTGTGTGTGTGTGTGTATGTGTGTATGTTTGAATTCATCTTAGCAGACTGGAGAGAGATTCCTTTACTGACTTTGAAGAATTTGCCAGCCTTGTTGTAAGAGGGCCAGTGTCAAGAAATTGCAGGCTGCCTCTAGAATCTGCGGGATCTCTAGAAGTAACCTCTAGAGAAGTCATCTCCAGCTGACAGCCAGCAAGAAAACAGACCTCAGTGTTATAACTGCAAGGAGATTCTGCCAACAAAGAACAACCTGAGGGAGTCCGGTAGTGGATCTTTCCCCATCTGAATCCCCAGTGGCACTGTAGCCCCAGCTAATACCTGGACTTAAGCCAGGTAAGACCCCAGCAGAAGACTCAGTCAAGTCTTGCCTGGCCCTTGCCCCACAGAAACTATGAGATAATAAATAGGTGTTGGTGTATACTGCTGAATTTGTGGTAATTTGTTATGCAGCCCAGAAAACAAATACAGGGACTAACTGCAATGATGGTTTGAAATGCCAGTTCCTGTGCCCTCTCCCAAATCTACTGAAGTCAATCTCTGGGTAAAGCTTAGGAAGCAGGATTCTGACGTACCTAAGAAGATTGGTCTAGTCGGTTATGTCAGTGGTTCTCAAACCATATTGTTATCACCCAGAGAGCTTTTAAAAAAAATATAGATACTCCTGGAAAACCTTATTTGATATTTCAGAAATGGGGCCCAAGAATCCGGTTCTGAAGAGCTGTCTAGGAAACTCTGAGCCAAGGAACCACTATTCTCAATTTATATTGTTACTTCTATTTATAAGCAGTGAAATGATTGGAAGCAGCCCAGTAAATCTTGAGATTGAATTTATGAAATAAATTCCAGATGACTGATTCTGCTATAAAGTCAAATTTAAGGTGGAACTCTAGCAGGCAGAAAACAGTCATAGAATTCTGGTTGATTAACTGAAGTCTTATGACCTGTATTAAAATAAATCATGTTCACTGGCACATATAGTTTCAAAAGTATATTTTATAAATTTTGAAGACTTTAAAAATGTCAAAAAGTATATATATGTGCATGTGTGTGTGTAACAGCATCCATTTTTAAAAACTTAATTATAAGTCAAAAGTATTGTAACTGGTTATTCAAATCTAAAACTTCAGCTGAAGCTCAGTCACATGAGAACTATCTTACTGATCAAACACGAATGGGAAGCATTATAATTAATGTTGATGTATTTTGCAAAAAAGTAGCAAATTGGTCTTTGGGATACCTCAGCTTCTTAGTTGTAAAACATTCTCTTTGTTCTGAAACTATATCATACAGGTACTAAAGCTCATTTTAACTAAAATGGCGTAAATTGATTTTGTATTTACTTTGCAGTAGATCTGATGTAAATATGCAGCATTGAATATAATACAGATTGTGCCAGGAGTAAATTTATGGATGCAAGCAGGGGGAGTGGGAGAGGGAGAAGCAGGCCTCCCACGGAGCAGGAAGCCCGATGCGGGGCTCGATCCCAGGACCCTGAGATCATGACCTGAGCCGAAGACAGACGCTTAACTGACTGAGCCACCCAGGTGCCCCTAGCCTTGAGCTTTCATTGTGATGTTTAAGGCACAGGAGACAAGCCCTGGGGGTTTGTGCCAGGTGAGGGATTGGAAGAGAGCATTTCCCTTAGAGTCAAGATCTCTAAGGTCCACCACCTCAATGGAAGGGCCAACTACTAAAAACAAAACAAAAGCTCCCCACTAAAGGAGACAAGATATTTAGGAAGGTTATCTGTCTCAACATCTGGCTGTGTAGGGAAGAAAAAAATCCCCTGAAAATTCATAACCACAGGCCAATCTTCACGCAGGTTTAGAATTCAGATTTGTACTATGTGATCCAGGAAATTCAAATTGAAAAGTTATTTAAGCTGGTCTTGTATTTTTCATTGACTGCTTACTCTATGCTAAATTGACTCCAGAAGAAATGGAAAATCTCAACAGATCTACAACTCTTTAACACATTGAAATTGCGGTTTTAAATCTTTTTCCCACAAAGAAAATGCCAAGCCCAAATGGATTAACAGATGAGTCTACCAAACATACAAGGAACAATTGAGTTCCAAGCTTTTAAACTCTTTAATGAATAGAAAAAAGGGACCACTCCCCAGCTATTTTTCAAATGAAGAATGATTAACATACAATATTGTATTAGTTTCAGGTGTATAACAGTGATTCGATATTTATGTACATTACAAAATGGGACATCTGGGTGGCTTAGTCAGTTAAGCATCTGCGTTCAGCTCAAGTCATGATGCCACATTCTTCTCCCTCTGCCTGCTGCTCACCCTGCTTATGCTCGCTCACTCTCTGGCAAATAAAATCTTTAAAAATATATGTATACATTACACAAATGGTCACTACTATATGTCTTGTTACCACCTGTCACCATACAAAGTTGTTACAATATTACTGTATTTCCTATGCCATACATTACATCCCTATGTCTTCAATTATTTTATAACTGGCAAATTGTACCTCTTAATTTCCTTCACCCATTTCATCCACTCCCCAACTATTTTAGAAGGCTGGTTTAACCTTGGTAACACAACTGGAGAAAAGACAATTATGGGCCAATTCTACATACGAACATAGATGTAAAACCCTAAAGAAAATGTTAGCAGTCTGAATCCTGTGATTTATAACAGAGGTAGTTTATTCATCATGGACAAATTGAGTTTACCCCAAGATTGTTAAGGCTGGCTTAACATTGGAAAGTCTTCATTGTATTGACCAATTTAAAAGGGTAAAAAAACACCTCACCTTAGTAGAGGGGGGCATTTTAAATTTAAAACACATTCAAGATAATGTAAAACTCTTAACTAGAAAGAGGAAACTTAAAACTTGTTAAAAGAAAATTTGCGCCAGACCAAAAATCTCTAACAAATATCACATTTAACGGAGAAACGTTAGAAGCATTCCCTTTAAAAGCATAAATGAGACAAAGACAGTTGCTATTGTCACTTTCAACATACTGGCGGTCCTGGGCAGCACAAAAAGACAAGGAACTAAAGTTTTGTGTTTTGTTTTGCAAATTATATGATTATAGAAACCGAACAGAGTCTGTGGTCTTTTAAGTAATTCAGCAGGTTGCTTTATATTAGATCAATATGCAAAAGAACTGTGATCCTTTCTACCAGTAATAGATAAGAGATATAAAAATACCTTTTACAGTGGCAAGAGAAAATATGAAGCACTAAAGAATAAATTAATAAAAGTGAATGACTGATTATAAAATACATTTCACCATACCAATAATGGAGACATACCATTTTTCTGAGAGAAAGATTCAATATAAAAAAGATCAATTCTTCCCAAGTTAATCTCTCATCTCAATATAAGCCCGATAAAAATACTTATAGGCATCAAGATTTCTTAAAAACCATAGTAAATGAGCCAGTGTGTCACTGATGCAGGGATACACAAACACACCCACACATGACAGTATAATGGCAGCAGTGACCTCACAATCGGTAGGAAGAAAGGATGGACTGACTAGTAGTCGGTAAAAAATGGCTATTCAAATGGGGAAAAAAATTGGACCTTTGACTAACAAACCAAAAGCAACAACAACAAAAATCAAATCCAAGCAAAACATCCCAGGGGATTAAAGATCTAAATGGGAAAGAGCTCCAGAAGAAATTACAGGAAACAGGGAAGGATTTCCTAAATAAGACGCAAAAACACAGATTACAGTAATAGGTAAACGTTTTTATATTTAAAAATAATAAAGCTTTCTGTTCTTTAAAAGATACATTTTTAAAAAAAAATCCTAAAAACATACATAATTTTAATACAGAGGAATAAAATAATGCCTGGGATTTGCCTCAAAGGGATCTGGTGGGGAGGAATTGGAGTTAATTGATAGGAGCTTAGCTCTGAGTTGGTAACTGTTGAAACTGGGTGATGGGTATACAGGGATTCATCAGATTTTTGTCTTCCCCTTTGTTATATGATATACATGGAATTTCTCATTAAAAAGAGAAAAAGAATATTATGGCAATAGGATACCAGTTTTCACCCACCAGATCAGCAAACATTTTACACTCTGATGATTCTACGTGTTTAGTAAGAACATGAAAAAGTGGGAAATCTTATACACAAATGGTAGGAACATAAATTGACATAACCAGTTTGGAAGAAAATTTGGAATTTTCTACCCAAACTGAAAATGTGTATTTACTACCCAGCTGTTCCCCATTCCGGTTAAATCCTAGAAAATCTCATGGAAGCATGTACAAAAATGTGCATAAGCTCATTGCTTTTGATAGCAACAAATGGGAAACAACCAAATGTCCATTGTTGGTACATTTACATATTGAAATGAAAGTGAATTTCCTGGCATTACATGCATCCACATGGATAAACCTTACATGTGGTCAACAAAAAGAATTTGTAGAATACAAACATTATAATACCATTTACATGCAGTACAAAACCATGTAAAGGTAAACATGTGGTCAGGGATGTGTAAGTGAAAAGCCAAAGAAACCCAAAATTCAGAATTCAAAATTCTTCTATTGGGAGAAGGTGATTAAGGGCACAAAGGGGGCACCATAGGGATTGTAAGGTTTTGCTTCTTAAGCTGGGTGGAAGGTACATGAGCGGACAGTATAGTCTTTCTGTATGTAATAAAATAATTCATAATTAAAATTTTTTTCATAATATATATGTCAAGTCATATTTTACACCTAAAACTAATGTCATTGTGTTAATTTATCTCAAATATATACATTTTTTCCAGTGAAAGGAGGGGACATAGGAGGGGGAAGTGAGAGAAGAGGCACAAAATACCCATCAGGGGAGTAAGTTCATTTCGGTTCAACAACAGACTTACTGAGAACAGATGAATGAAACTTTGTCCTACGAGGTACACAATCATCTGCCAGAAGAAAACTGCTGACCTCTCTCAGTACAGAGGTAAAGAACCTTGTAAAAGCATGAGTTCTAGTCAGACCTTTGATGAGGCACCCGTGAGGGAAAGCATCGGTGGGTGGGCTTCTGAGCCAGCGATAGGGGCTGAGCTTTTCCTTCTCTTCAGCCCACTTGCTCCCTGCCCCCTCCTGACTATTCAGAAAGGTTTCTAGGTTTGCGTCTTCGTGTCACACACGAAATAAAAGTAAATAGAGTACAGTGCTGAATGCATCTTCCCTGTAGCCTTCTGGAGTGGACAACGTCCCTGGGAAAGAGAAGGGCAGTAGTGTGTGAAGGACTTGGTACCTGTTGCTTTCTCCTGATGCCAGGCCACTGGGGAAACCAGCCCAGCGTGCAGTGCAGGCTTCTAGCTCATGACCCAGGTGAGTCACCTCTTCTGGGGGGTGGGGGTGGGGTGGTGCTTCTCTATACCAGTGCCCGGTTCCAGGGGAAGAAGATGTAGGTATGTGCCAGGCTGTGTGTGTCCAGTGAGGCAGGAGGCAAAACACGGGTGATCTTGGTATCAGCACCTCCTGACACCTACGACTTCTTCCCCATGGCCTTCCTGGGGAGTCCCCAGTTTCCACACGCCTTCCTGGGAGAGTCCCCAGCTTCCGCATGACCTTCCTGGGGGAATCCCCAGCTTCCCCATGGCCTTTCTGGGGAGCCTACAGTAATGAGTGCCCGATGGGCAATCTGACCCCAGGATTACATACAAAGTGCTACAAACTGGTTCCTTACACCTCGTCACAGCAGCTGGAATCCAAGGCCCTCTGAGGCCCTCTGAGGCCCTCTGAGGCCCTGTGAGGCCCTGGGCTCTCTAACTGGATTTTCAGCTTCGCTCCAACTTTCTGGGTCCCATGGTGAAGTAAGAAGTGTCAGCTGATGGTCTGCAGATCTGCAAGAGAGCGAACAGAATCACAGGGCTTGTCACCCTTCCCAAATCCTAGCATCTCTGTTTCCTCCAACAGGTCCCGCCTCTTCTACCTTTTTACCTATTTCACTTCCAAACCCACTGTAATATAATATCCCCCCCCCAGATACACAATTCTTTCCTATTATTTTGCACTATTTTGCCTTCATAAGCTAATGTCCCTCCGGGCATTTTCCTGGCTCTGGGTGGACATCTCCAACCTGACTTCAGTGAGAGAAACCTAATACTTATAATGATAATAATGACTGATATTTATTGAGAACTTGATATGTGGTAGGCTCTGCCTGTTAGGAGTACTTTACCTGGGCAGGGCCGTGGTCTGAACACTTGTTTAGTGCATATACTTATTTAGGTACATAGTATCATTCTCATTTGACCAATGGGGAAACCCAAGTACAGAGGGGTCAGGTAACTTCCACGAGTAACAGTCTTTTCGAGAGCCTGCATTCTGAGCTACGGGGCTACAACGGCTGTCTCCTAAAAACCAAAGCAGACCAGACGCTGCGGCCGAGCTCCCTTTCTCCCTGGCCGCCCCCCACCTCCCCCATGCCCTCCCCATAGCTCACAGCGCATGACTGCTTCCTTGACTTGGCGAAAGCCGCCATCGGGGCCCCGGCCATCCACGAAGTACATGAACCGGAGCTCAGCAGGGTAGGCGGCGCTGGTGAGGCCCAACATCAGCGGGATGGTGCGGCCCTCCGCCCCAGGGGCCTCGCTCAGGGCCTGCAGCATCTGGTACCTGCACCACGGGTCCTGCAGGAAGCCTGGGGTGATGAGCAGCACCCGGCAGTGACTGCTACTCAGGGCCTGGCACAACTCAGACACGATGGCGCCCCCTGGGGTCGCATCCCGAAGCTGCAGGAAGCAGCGCAGGCTGGCGGTGCTGCCCTCCAGGTAGGAGACCAGCTCCTGGGCGGCCTCCAGGTCCTCCTCACTGTGGCACACGCAGACGTCGTAGTCCTTGCTCCAGCGGCCGCTGCTGCTGCTGCTGCTGCTGCTGCTGGCACCCACGTGTGTGGGCGGGGGGGTGCGAGACAAGGCTGAGCTGAGGCCCGGGGCGGGGGGGTCGTCCCGGGAGCTCGGCTGTGAAACGTCCCTGGAGGTGCTCTCTGCAGAGTCCGGCAGCTTCCTGGGCTTCGACAGGGCCTGCCTGAACCAGTCTGTGGGGCAGAGAAACGCTGCTCAGGCCGGGTAGTCTCACCAGATTGCGTCCTCACGGCCCTGCACAGAGGACCTCACACCTGGCAGGTCGGCCCATCGCCCCCCACGGGCAGACCATGCCGCCCGACTCTCAGAGACCTACCGCTCTGCTCTTTGGTACATCATTCAGGACTTGCCTTGAACGTCCCATCATCTTTAAAGGTTTGGGGAAGTCATAAAAACTCTGGCTGTTTTATGAGTCGTGAGAAGGTAACATACAGCATACTGGCTATAGTTGATAATCCTGTACTCCCTATTGAAAGTTGCCAAGAGCGGAAGCCTTCAAAGTTCTCATCACAAGAAAATAAGTTCTGTAATTACGTATGGTAACGGATGTTAACTAGGTCTTGTGGTGATCATTTCACAAAATATACAAATACTGAATCATATTGTACTGCTGAAACCAATATAATGTATGTCAGTTATACTTCAATGATTAAATAAACAACAACAGAACAAAGAAAGGAAAGAACTCTGACTTTCATCAGCCTGATTAGGAAAGATGTCTTTGCCCTATTCCAGGCCCTTTGATTTCTGGTACTGTCAGCTCACTCTACCCTAAACTTCCCACTTGTAGTGACTAGCCAACTATCCGCTAGTCTGTAAGTAGAGCTATGTCAAGCTGGTCAGGATTAATCAATTCCCAAACCCACTTTCTGCAGTGAGGGGAGGTGGATTTAGATTAAGGTGGGCTACCCATTATGGGAGGGAAAAAGGGGAGGGATTGGCATCTGTCTGGCCCCAGGAAATCCCAGATTGTTGCTAAATGGTAAAACAAAAGCATGGAAGAGGGTTACTGCTCAGAGCACCTGAAGAGCGGAGAGCCTAGTGATTTGCCATCTAGACTTTGGAGCCAGGCATAGATCTGATTATAGACCTGCAGCTTGCTTGCTGTATGACCTTAAGCAAGTCAGTCTATGTCTACCATTGCCTCATCTGTAACACGGGTTCATTTTAATTGTTGCTGAAGATTAACTGAGATAATGCCATGTCTGGTATACTGTAAGTATTCCATAATGAGACCAGCTCAGCTTCCCCAGCTTTTGATAAGGACAGAAAGTTTAGTGTTCTGGAGATTAATTTGTTTTCTCACTCTGCTTGGCTCCTTCCTCTAAATGGTTCAGAAAGACTTCCATGACAAGAAACACAATGCTAAGTGCTCTGCACCATGGTTTCCAGGTTAGGAAAATGAGCTGAGCATGCATGGAAAAGCCGTGAGCCCAAAGGACTGAAGGTTCTATGATGCGTGCCTCTCTCCTCACTCACCGCAAAGCATCTGGGCTCTGAGGTCAAGGCCGGAGCCCAGGAGCCCACCATCGTCAGCCTCCCTGCATCTCCTGCTGCATGTGGGCCAGGCAGCCCTCCCACCTCGCCAACAGGAACGCAGAGGAGTACACTCATAGCTGTGAACAAGAGCGGAATTAGGAGTCGGCTTCCACTCACCAGCCATCTTGCCCAGAGGCTTCTTGGACGGGGCGCGAGGAGCTGGGAAGGAGGATGATGATGCCATAGTATGGGGCTCAAAACTAACCCCATGAGACCAGGCATTGGTAAAGTGAGAGAAGGGAGGGGACTCAGTCGTGACCTTATGGAACAGCCATCCTATAAGAGACAGAGAGAGAGGATCACAAAAATTGTACTTACCTTACTCTCAGTCCCAGTGTGTGGGCTCTAGATGTTCTCTCCTAATGCCTGACAGAGGCTCAGTCCCTCTACTGGTCCTTGATCCCTATCCCACATCTACCACTGGATTGGATCCGGCTTCCAGAAAAACCCAGATCTGTGGAGAGTGGCGAGACAGAGTGGGAGCCCAGCATGAGCAGTTGAGTGACTGTCCCCCACTGCACCCGGCCAGGAGCACACCCTGGGGTTCTGGGGCAGGGCAGCTGGCCGGAAGCTCTGGATAAGGACTTCCAATGTGGGAGGAGGGGGGGAAACATGATGGAGGAGTAAGAGGGCCGTGGGCTCACCAAGTGCCCCGAACTCAGCTAGAGAACACTCAAATCGCTACCATATGATCTAGCAATTGCACTACTGGGTATTTACCCCAAAGATACAAATGTAGGGATCCGAAGGGGTACGTGCGCCCCGATGTTTATAGCAATGTCCACAATAGCCAAACTGTGGAAAGAGCCCAGATGTCCATCGACAGATGAATGGATAAAGAGGATGTGGTATATATACACAATGGAATATCATGCAGCCATCAAAAGGAATGAAATCTTGCCATTTGCAACGACGTGGATGGAACTGGAGGGTATGATGCTGAGTGAAATAAGTCAATCAGAGAAAGACATGTATCATATGACCTCACTGATATGAGGAATTCTTAATCTCAGGAAACAAACTGAG